AACAATAGTAACAATATAGAATCCTCATAATAACGACAATAATAATAATAATAATGGCAATGATTATTATTATTATTCAGGATGCAATAGATTAATATTTATTGCATGTAACTGGATCAATTAAATTTGTAGTAGTATGAGAGTATTGTATCAATACCTGTGCCATTGTGTTAGTAGTGTGGGACTGCAAAAGATCATAATTTATTGATGAAAAAATCCTATACTTAATTTATCCTTAGCTTGTCAATTGGATTCATAGAGAAGCAATGATAATGACTACAAGTTATTTATTTATTTACTTGAGTATGCCTACACTGCAAATACTAATGCACTGTCATATGCAAGCAAACGATTTGATGTAACTTGTTTATCAAGTGTAGATTGGTAAACGTTATTTCTGCATCGCCTATTACTTATACGGCGAAAATGAGAAACCAATGCAATTTCTACGACACCAAATAACAACACACAACACTGATACAAGTGGAGATTTATTCACCCCAAAAACACTACGATAACTCTAGTCGAAAATACACTCATTTATATAATGATTTGTACACCCATCTGATTAGTAATTAGGGAAAAGTCACATGTATGGAAACTATTCAGAATCATAAGACATCACATGTTGCATATCATGCTGAACATATGTTACATGCAAACGAAGAATAAATGAATGGTGACTACTGGGAATTATATATGAGTTATCATTACATATATTCTTATTGCACGATTGTTAAGTAACTAGGGTATAGATATATAATTAAATGTTTCAAAAGATGGTTAAGTAATTAATTGAAATATTGTTTGAAAGTACATACCGAAAACTAAACACGTAGACAACAGAAGTAAATGATGTACAAATCGCTATGATGAATAGCAAATAGAAATTCTTTTATTCGATCCATCAATGATACTAAGTTATCTACATATGGATGTAATTTTCTGTGCATTTGTGAATATTATACAGATTTGACTGTGTATATAACAATGTTGAACTTGAGACTACATCAGTGTTTTCTTTCTTGATTACTTCTATACTTAAATGAAAGTATCATTCAATATAAAAATAGTTTTGTCTCACAGTGTAAAGAACTAGGTTATACAATATTTAAGGGTAAGAAAAACAGGCAATTGAATCTTTAAAAAAACTTATTTTAATGTAATTAAAAAATGTGTGTAGTGTTGCTTCTCAAAATAGGCTGAAACTTTATATTTTACAGAATTCAACCCATCAGTGAACATACGACTGGCAGCATTTTTTAATGAATCAAGTACTAAACGTCTATTCGCTCGAACCTGTTTAGTGTGAGGTTGAGCCAGATATCTGCCTATTGACGTTTCACCATTGAATGGCATTTCCCCAATTGGTTTCAATGCACTTGTAACAGCTCAGGTTGGTTGGTTAAGAGTTGACCCCAAACAACCAAGCTTATACCAAAACAGTATTGTTCAAGTATTCATTCACTTCCTTATTTTTCATAAGCGTTATATTCCCTATTATCTTGAATGTTGAGAGCCTTTGTTTGTCTGAACAGATAATCCCACGCTCCACTGTGACTGCGCGAAGATCGAAATAAAGACCTATTCACTACTTCTCTGGTTTCTTCTATCAATAGCACGAGGGTTACCTTAAGGCACGAAACTGGTGAGCCCTTTTTGAACACAAATTTAACCTCATTTCTGTTATTAACATTTTTTTTACTTAATCGTAAAAGTAGACCTGATTATCCGTAAACTAATTTGAGTATATAACTAGTTTATTCCGTATTATCTTAAGTTATTCGTGTTATAGTAACCACTTTTTGTGCTAACTTTATTGCTATATTTGTCACATACCTCATGTCAGACTCAATAGAAACCCATAATCTGGAGGATTTGTCACCAGTGGAGATAGACACTGTTATGACTACGAAATCCCGACTTCCAGAATTTGATCGTAGTGATCCTGAGTTGTGGTTTGCTCAACTAGAGCATTATTTCACGAGACACAATATCAAATCTGAAGGGATTCGCTTTAGAGACTTGTGTTCTATCCTTCCTCCTTCAGTCGCCAAAGAAGTCCGTGACTTGATTTTAAGTCCACCATCACCACAACCATACACCATCTTAAGACGAGAGATAATGAACCGTTTATCATTATCAGATAGTCAAAGAATCCAAAGACTTTTTCAAGGTGAAACACTAGGTGATCGGTCGCCGTCACAGTTTTTACGTCACCTCCAAGTCTTAGTGGGTGATAACACAGTGGGTGAAGCAGTCCTAAAACAAGGATGGATACAAGCTCTCCCATGCTACGTCCAACACTGTTTGGATGCACAGGATCCTGAAACCTCATTATCTCATTTAGCGCGTATAGCCGACAGAATAATGGAAAGAGGTCCTCCAACTGGATCAGGCACAATAAATCACACACAAAAAGTAGAATCAGCAAAAGACCCCGTAATAGAAGGACTCATTGCGAGTGTTAAGAGTCTCACTGAGGCTGTCACCAGAATGCAAATGGGTCATAGAAACAGGAGCAGGTCACCACAACGACCACGATCCAAGCCACAAATGTCCAGACAATCTGGGCAGTTTTGTTGGTACCACTGGAAGTTTGGTGTCAACTCAACCAAGTGCATGCAACCATGCGCCTGGCCTAAGCATAATTCTAAGACAGTGGGAAACGAGTAACCCCTCCCCAGGTCGCGACGACTGAGGAGGGGCGCCTAAACAGTCGCTTGTTTTATGTTAGAGACAGAAACTCGGGCTTGAATTTCTTGGTGGATACTGGCGCTGCTCTTAGCATCATCCCTCGAAATAAAACTGAGATTAGTCGAGAAACATCATCAATTACACTTCAAGCTGCAAATAAAACTAAAATTGCGACATTTGGGCAGAAAACTTTAACCCTAGATTTGGGGTTCAGGAGGCAATTCCCTTGGGTTTTCACGGTAGCCGACCTAGATCTGGCAATACTGGGGATGGACTTTCTTGAGAGATACGAATTTCTAGTTGACACCAAGAAACGGCGATTAACACTAAAAGAAACTTCGTATTACACAAAAGGCAAAGAAAGTCACATCAGCTCTCTTAACTTGATTCAAACTCCCCCAGTAACAACAGCGAAATCCCAAGATATACTCGCGGAATTTCCAAACTTAACTAAACCAAACCCACAGCCTTCTAAAGACAAACTAAAAGTGAGTCACACTATCAAAACCGAAGGTGCACCGGTGTTTGCAAAACCCAGGAGACTAGCACCAGATAAGCTCAAAATCGCTAGGGCCGAGTTTGATTATATGCTACAACTGGGTATCATCCGTCCCTCTGATAGTCAATGGGCATCCCCTTTGCATATGGTCCCAAAGAAGAATGAAGGTGACTGGCGACCGTGCGGGGATTACAGAGCCCTAAACCGTCAAACCGTACCTGATAGGTACCCAATACCTCATATCCAAGATTTCACCAACGGTTTACAGGGTATGAACATATTCACTAAAATTGACTTAGTCAGGGCATATCACAATATCCCGGTGGCTGATGAAGATATTCCCAAGACAGCTATTACTACACCCTTTGGCTTATTCGAGTTTGTACGCATGCCATTCGGCCTGAGAAATGCGGCACAGACATTTCAAAGATTCATAGATAACCTACTTCGAGATATGCCATTTGCGCAGGGGTATATAGACGACTTGTTAATTGCCAGCCCCGATTTGCAATCACACGAACAGCATGTACAAGCAGTGTTGAAAAGACTGGATGAACATGGAATAAACATACATCAAAGTGTGTTTTCGGTGTTCAAACTTTAGAATTTCTCGGTCACACAATAAGCCCAGAAGGGATTAAACCTATAAAAAAAGAAGTGGATACTATCAAACAATACCCCGTACCTAGTTCTCTAACACAACTGAGAAGTTTTCTAGGCCTAATTAACTTCTATCGCAGATTCATACCAGGTTGTGCACAATTAATGCAACCTTTGACAGATTCACTTAAAGGAAAACCAAAAGAATTCAAACTGTCTTCTGACGCCATCGAAGCTTAAAGATAAACTGGCTCAAGCAGCCACGTTGATATATCCGAATTCTCTTTCTCCACTTGCTTTGATGGTGGATGCTTCAGATAAAGCAGTAGGCGGTACCCTTAACCAACTGGTTAAAAACGCCTGGAAACCAATTGCTTTTTTCTCGAAAAGACTCGCTCCAGCCGAAACAAGGTATTCTACCTTCGGGCGAGAACTTCTTGCAATCTACCTGACCATTAAACACTTCCGACACATGTTAGAAGGTAGGGAATTTATAGTCTTTACGGATCATAAACCACTGACGAATGCATTGAAAGCGAGAGCCGATAAATACTCACCTCGAGAAGTCCGACACCTTGACTATATATCACAGTTCACAAGCGATATCCGACATGTCAAAGGTCAGGACAATCAGGCGGCAGATGCTTTATCCAGACTAGAAATGAACGTGCTACAGCAGTCTACAGTAAACTTCGAGACGTTAAGACACGAACAAGAGCAGGACCTAGAATTGCAAAACCTACTTAAAACAAACAATTCAAGTCTTAATTTAAAACAATTCCCATCACCTATCGATGGTATTCTAATTTATTGTGACACGACCAAGGCAATGCCGCGACCTTTCGTTCCCAAAAATATGCGAAAGTTGATATATAATAACTTTCATTCTTTGTCTCATCCTGGCGCGAAAGCTTCAACAAAACTAATCAATGCCAGATATATATGGCCGAATTTACAGAAGGATGTACACAAATGGGTTAGAGAGTGTTCAGCATGTCAACAATCAAAGATTAATCGTCACACAAATTCACCCATAGGTGTTTTCTCGCAACCAGATGCACGTTTTGCCCATGTGCATATCGACTTGGTAGGTCCTTTACCTCGTTCAAACGGTTTTAATTATCTTTTTACATGCATAGATCGATTTACCAGATTCCCTATAGCCATCCCGATAGCGGACATCACAGCGGAAACAGTAGCCAAAGTTTTCATGCAGAACTGGGTAACCATTTTTGGTACACCCATAACAATAACGACGGATAGAGGAGCGCAATTCGAATCCGAACTATTTAATAACTTGGCTAAACTTCTAGGCTCCAATAGGATACGCTGCACTGCATATCATCCTCAGGCTAATGGGATGGTAGAACGTTTTCACCGTCAGCTAAAAGCCGCCCTTATATCTCACTCAAACCCCAATCAGTGGACAGAATTCCTACCATTAGTTATGTTGGGAATACGAACATCTGTCAAAACTGACGCACAGTGTTCAGCTGCGGAACTGGTTTTCGGAACAACTCTGAGACTACCAGGTGAATTTATTAACCCCAATACTAACAGTCAAAAACTTAATTTAGGAAACTACGTAGATCAACTACGGGACCACATGTCCAAACTTAAGCCAATTAATACTCGCGAACAATCGCGTGCCGTATATGTACCTAAAGACCTAAGCAATTGCACGCACGTCTGGATAAGATGTGACAAAATAAAAGCACCACTTAGCCCTCCATTTGAAGGTCCTTTCAAAGTCGTCTCAAGAAAATCTAAATATTTCGTGATAGAAAAACATGGAAACATCGACACAGTAAGTATTGATAGGCTAAAGCCGGCTTATCTAGATCATGAACCACCATACGTGTTGTTAGATCGTTTAACTGACAAATCCATTACGGAATCGAAATGCAAAAACGATAAATCTTTACAAATGACTAAAACGGTTCGCTGGGCACATCCGATTAGCCAATCAAGGATGTTGACAGTTTCAGCTGCAGGATAAAATCTAACCACGTAGCTAATCAGACCCTTCATCTACTTAAAAATAACTTTTCTCCTCATTCCGCCTCACCTACAACTCCCCAGACCTTTTGCCTTTGATATATAAGTGTTATGTTAAATTTTTTTTAAATACTGGACACATAAGCTAGGTATTCCGAAACGATGGCTGCGGATTTTAATCAAACTCATACAACTAACACTGGCAAATACAACGAATTCAAAAAGCAACCCAGGCGAGTTTTATAATTTCTTTTTCTGGTTAATTAACTATGTTGGCTGTACTTCTTATATATCTATATACATTTTTCACGTAGACTGGCTATACATATATACCATATGAACTACTTCTAAAAGTTTTCGGTCGAAGATGTGTTTAGTAGCTTGATACGCTTAATACTACTATTAATAAGTGGTTTTCTAGACAAAACATTTTGGATTAAACTATGGTCAAATACTTAATAAAGTTCTCATCATTTTTTTTCATGTTTAGGAAACTTACATAATGACTTAACCAGTTTTCCTACAGCATGCTTTTTAGTGTGATCATATAACCCATCATTATTGGCAATATTCAAAATTTTTTTTAAATTTCTGACATTTAAGAATCAATAACCGTGAAGATATAGTACAGTGCGTTACTGTAAGGTTACTATGTTAGCCGCATTGATTCCACATACCTAATTTTAAACACAACTTATAAGGGAACTGTTAAGTAATCACAACATTGAACTAATATGCTATGCTAACGTTAAACCAATTATTATTAGTGGTCCATACAAAATCCTGGAACTTAACACTAGCGTTATAAAAAACGTGTTATGTCAATAACTTATATATATATATATATATACCTTTTTTTTCTCGTTGGTTTAATTATAACGTAAAATGGAAATCTACCACACTTGTAGTTTTTTTTTCTATAGCATTATTATTAATAAAAACAAAGAACTTGTACTATTCCAATATGGCACTTTGACATATCAATCCGTCCTCCTGTTATCTTTCTCTCATATCTGAGCAACATATGGCCAACAAACATCGTATTGAAGGGGGTTTTGGTGAACGAAAACGCTAGCCCCACACGCACTCGAACCTCTGCCCTCCTGGATGCTAGACCGTGTGCCTAGCCATTAGACCACATCAAACCACGGGCGAATGACTGCAATCTTTCCTTTTACCGATTAATCGTATATAATACTAATGAGTAATAGGACTTACACATTTCTAAGGTGCAGACAAATTCGTTACTTGGATGAATTGACGAAATATTGTTTCAATATATCATACATACTTAGATCAAACCAGAAAAGAGTATTTGACACAATTGTACTTAATCCTCAGAATCTACACAATTTTTTTCTCCTCCTTAACCGTATATTCTTTTCCGTTTTGTGGAGTACAACTATGCACCCTTGGGGCAACGCTCCTAGGGTATCGTCCACTGATGGGGGTTGCGAGCACTTGAAGGTCAAACTGTCGCAAAATGATTGGTGCGTCTCATCGACAATTCGTGAAAATTTTCAGAAGCGGTCAAATCAAGACATTTTTGGATTTGAATTGATTTCAGCTACACTATGTCTGATAACGTTCATTCTTCTAGTAACGAAGACGACTCCATCGTGATGATGCATGATATAGGCCGAATCTTCAATGATATTATATTATCTCGAAGATTTACAAGTTGGGACAATTTTGAGACCTGTTTGAAAGAAGTACATAAGGTAATATGACCTCTGGGGTTAATAATTATTTTTTTAGTATACGCATACTAAGTACGTTATGTCAGTATGCAAAAAGAACAGTGATGATCCAACTCTAAAGTACTTTTTCGTGAGATATGTCTGTACATATGGACGTAAACGCAGTTCGTCAGAGTCAGATGCTTGCGTTCAGGATGTAGATGATGATAGTAATAATCATTCTTCTGAAGAGCATACAACTTCTAACTCGCCAACACAACCTAGGCAAAGGAGACGACGTCGGTCATCTACGTATGCCTTACTTCAAATGAATTTATCCTTCAGGTCGAAATATTGCCACTGTCAATCAGGATTTTGGGTCCGGGCACTGAATGGTGAGTTGAAACTCACCTCTATTAAAACCGTGCACAACCATCCTTGCACAGAAGGATATATTTCTGTCGATCCATCGAAACGACAGTTGACCTCAAGTGAACGCTTGTATTTAAGAACGTTTCTACTGAGTAATACACCAACTCGTAGCTTACGGTATCTGGTTTCTTTGAAGTTCAATAAACAACTTACCAAGGACGATATCGCCAGAATGCGTTCACAGTTGTACCCAGGTTGTTGAACTCACATTGTAATTAATTGAGTTTAGACACTAAAAATATCAATAACATTTTACAGCGCATTCAAGGAAATACTGAAGTTAAAGTATTCTATGAAAATGGGAACATGTCTATGATTTGCTTCAGCCGCAGAGAGCAAATAGCTGTTTACCACGCGTTCCCGGAAGTAATATGTATTGACTCGACTTATCAGACCAATAAAGTCGGGTAAGTGACGATTAGTAATAAATTTATCTGAAAGCTTTCCACTGTTCCAGCTAGTGGTCACTGATAGTCTTGGGCAAGGGCACACTGTTATGTATGCTCTTTGCAGTCAAGAACGACGCGAAGATATCGAAAAACTATTGGAATGTTTTAAAGAGATAATGTGCGGTACTTATGCTACACGCACGTTCATTATGGATTCGGCAGCGACCGAAATTTCGGCTGTGCAGTCTACGCACAGTCATTCTAACATAATACTTTGTTCATTCCATGTCCTAAGAGCGTTTTTCAGGAAGGTATGTGTTAACTGTACAAATTATTTTCTGTAGTTCCGAAATCCTGATGTGCGCAAATGCTTGGAACAGCTTGTGAAGACTAGACGGTCTGATATGTGAGCTTCGCTTTTCATAGCGCATTATATTCAGATTTACTCGAAAGTACGAACATCTAAGAACGCATTTTCCACGGGCGTATGATTACATAAAAGATTACTGGATTGCTAGGAAGTCAATGTGGGCTCGCTGTTACCGGCGACATGTATTAAGCCTGGGCAACCACACAAACAACCGTGTCGAAAGTGCTCCTAAACACCTAAAAGAATGTCTCAGAAGAGGTGATTCCCTATTATTGACGTTCTGGAAAATTTGGAGTAAAACAGACATTGATGTACGTTTGCGTCCTTATGACGCTGTGAAGGATCTTCAACGTTTTCCTATTCTTCAGGTAAGAAATATAGTTAAATGTATCATTAATTCCAGGTTCCAATGTCATTTCGAACTCTTCTAAATGAGTTCACATCTTTTGCAGCTAAAATTGTAGCTGTAAATTATAAACGTGTTCGGACAATGAGACACGAATTTATAGAAGGAGAATACATCCGGTGCTACGACAAGGGTATGATGTATGTTGTTGATACTTCACGTGCACGATGTGCTTGTGAGCGTTTCAATGACTACATGCTGCCCTGTGGTCATATTTTGTATGCACATTCTAAAGATCTGATTCGCGGAGGTATGTGTGTTCCTTTATCTCTATAAGTTTTGTAGACTTATTTCGACATAGCAACCGGTGGACAAGAAAATACATAATGGACCTGGTTCTTCGTGCGCTGGACAACATCTCAATCTCTACAGGGAGTGATGATCTGCTAGAGAAGTTCACTAGCAACTGCCACTCAATCCATGCTCTTAGTGAACCTATGGCAAGTAAACTCATCCGTTCATGCCTCGAAGCATCGGAAGACATATGTGCACAGTTGATGAGTTCAGTCGGTGCTAATGATGAAGCTACAACGTCAGAATCCATTGTTAATGCAGACCATAGCTATGCTTCTTGCTAACAAGAAGTTCTAATATTGTAATCTTTTTAGTTTTACATAAATTCATTTATATGGCCATTGACTTATTCTTATAGCGTAACGGCAGGGAGTGTACTGTGCAGTCTTATGTGGCTGTGAGACAGGGATGTTGTTTCGCGTTCTTGTGTAATAATTACCAGTTTGGCGCACACGCGATTAGTCATACATACCGTTTACCAAATACTGCTACCTTGAACATGGTGTACCATACTAGTAGTTCGGATTTCGACGTGTCACGATAGATAAGAATTGCCGTAATTAAGAGACTGGTGCGTTATAAATGTAAACGTTTATTAAAGTTTGAATCTAGCACAAATGATCCATTAATAAATAACTTCTACTTCTCAGGAATTGTTCCCGTTAGGTCTGTGAACGCTTGCGAAGCTAGCTGGAAATAAGATAGACAGGAAAGTTATTTCAGTATAAATGTTTACCAGAAACTAGTATAAAAACGGAAACCAGTATTCAATTACAGATCGAAAGTGCATTTAGCACACCCTTCCTTTGGATAGTCAGTCACGCTTATTTCCTTTATCTCTTGCGTTGCTTAGGAAAGTCTGGGTCACAACATACACGGATTGTATTATTTAATTCTTTGGTCAGGTTGCACTTCGGAAACTTAGACGATGAACATATATAAAGACTACTGTGTGAATTTACTTTCAATCGTCCTGTGTAACCTGAAATTCTTGATGCATATTCTATTCTAGTCCCACGTAAGTTATGAGTAATTGTCATTTACGGCATCAGCACGTAAGCTAGACAGGCCTTGGTTGATTTCCGAAGATCATCACATAGGATCTCACACAATCTGGTCACCTTAGATCAAGATATCTTGACTATCGAATCGTACTTTTCAGTGCTTTCTCGTGATAGCTTTATATCAGTACTTATTTCTGATATTAGGTATTTTTGCAATAATACCGGCAGCCAAAACATTGTAGCTCCCCAGACAACCCAAAAAGGGAAAATAAAGGGGTAAATGCTTTGGTAGCGAAAGGGGAAAACACATCGGAATGTCGCATTTTTCGCCTGTCCGGAGGAAATAATGTGGATTTCCCCCTTTTTCGCCGTTTTGTCGATAAATTACTCACTTTACGCCTAAATATCCGCCAAATTACCGAATTTTCGCCTAACTGTCCGCAGAATTGTTTACTTTTCGCCTAAATGTCTGCTGAATTGTTTACTTTTCGCCTAAATACACACAGAACTCCCTATTTTCCATCCATTGACATAACCCCAAAGGTCTACTATGTTCACCTTTATTTTCAACAACAGACCAAAATAAATCTGCAATACAGTGGAAAACCGGCATGTTTTTGAAAAATTTTATTTAAAAGGTAAAGCGTATTATTGTACAACACTAGAGCAGAAGCTTAAGCATCGATTGTTTTGCATATCCAATGCAATTGCTAATTCATTGTTATTTGAAATTATCTGCAAAAGAAGAAACACGTGATGTATTATTCATAAGGAATGTGCATTTATTCAAAAGTTCACTGACACTCAAACACACATTCTCAACACTTCTACAGTTTCCCATGTAAGTAAAAAAGTAAGCTGTTTGAAAAAAATTGAAATGTAGGTAGAACATCAAAACAATTGCACGGCTGTTGAGAATTGAGGTAGTCGTCCCGTGAATTCAGAATTTAAAAAAAGAAAAAAGCCACAACCATATCTCAATGACATGCTTTGGTACAGCAAATTACTTGTGTACATCTACACAAGAGGTAGTAATGCTATCTTAGCTTCGTCTTTGGTAGAATCTCCACATAATTATACCTCTACCGCATGATTATGATTTATTTCCTGCAATACAATCATCTGGTGGCTAATATATCTAACTGTAGAAGGTGATATTAACATCTTAATATGTGTTATTATCATCTATAGCATATACATAATATTTACAACACTCAGGACACCTTATGTTTTCACTATAAACCTATTTCTGCCATAAAAGTCGAACAAAACAGTGAAAATCAGCAGAAAATGTGATAAAGATAGGAAAAACGATAAATCTTACCATGGTATCGTTAGTTGTAACGCAGTTTTCGTAGCCTTGACGACAATACAATTTTTATGACGATATATGCCTGAATCTTCCTATTTCATATAAAAATAAAAGATTTGTCGACCATCAGTGTATACCTAAGTAGAAATAATTGCTAATCTGCGATGCAAACATCGAAAAACTATTATAGCAGCACCTGAATAATGAATTTTCAAGGACTTCACGATACCATGTAACGCAAAATCGAAAAACCCCTTTTTACCTAATTATGAAAACGGAAAATAGACTTTCAAATTTATTCATAATTAATTTCGAAATTTGGTTGTGCAAAAAGCAGGAATGAAAAAGTAGCGCAAAAAAGTGTCGCGATACCCCTGGAGCGCTGCCCACCCTTGGTTACGTACCTGGTTATAAAAGGCGGTCGTCATAGGCCCAAGGTCATACATTTGATCGGGTTTGACAATGAGTCCAACTTCTAGCAAGTTCACCCTCTTACATATATGCATTACAAAAGAGTATTTTTTTGTTTTCATGGTTTTTCGTGCACAAGATATCTACACTATGTCTATTTTCTTCCAGAATACCAATCCTTTCTGGAGGCCAATCACTTACGTGGAACCGAACAATTATAAATTATATTTTTGTATTTCCATTTTGTATCTTATTATTTTTATGCAGGCAGTGGAGCAGTTCTTCAGGTGTGATTGGTTTTCACCATTACCTTTGAAGTAGATTCTTCTTTACTTTTTACTTGAGGGCGACTAAAGAGGCAGGTGAGTAAACACCTGATAGCCGGTCTGAGCATGGAAAAATCGTACCTCACCAACATGGTGTTGGGTAGCCCGCTCGCGGCACTTCCTCAGATATTCTTATTCCACATTCTCACACTCTTTCTCTTGAAATCACGCAGTAAACCGTCAGCGATGGTTGTAGAATAGATCACATGCTACAAAATAAGATGACAAGCTAGTAAATGAGGAGACATCCATGGACTATCGTTGACAGCGTTAGTCGTCACTGATTGTAAGTCAAATAGTGAGCGAGTTGATAATTTTCTCTTGGGATGAGAAATAGAACTAAGGTGTTTTCGATAGATAGGTTAATCGAACCGACGTTCCTACGGAAGTCGATTCTAGGGGGAAGCTAATGTAACAGCTCAGGTTGGTTGGTTAAGAGTTGACCCCAAACAACCAAGCTTATACCAAAACAGTATTGTTCAAGTATTCATTCACTTCCTTATTTTTCATAAGCGTTATATTCCCTATTATCTTGAATGTTGAGAGCCTTTGTTTGTCTGAACAGATAATCCCACGCTCCACTGTGACTGCGCGAAGATCGAAATAAAGACCTATTCACTACTTCTCTGGTTTCTTCTATCAATAGCACGAGGGTTACCTTAAGGCACGAAACACTCACCTTACTCGATGGAATACTGTCAATATTCTTACAAACAGTACGACATATGCGTTTGCAGTTAATGTGTGCCATATTGGGTACAATAATTACTTCTTCAGAGTGATTTCGTAGGGTAACATATTTGACAATTGTACGCATGAAATATATTTGTAATATGAAAATTATACAAAGTGTTAATCCGATTGCTTTCAGAATTGCATAGTAGATTCTGAACGATGATTTCTTCTTGATAAACATTTGATTATACAATCCTTGTGTTTATAAAACACAATGGTAACAACGGTAACAATAACAAAAATAAACGTTGAACAATCAGGTGCTTATTATCTAATTAACAATTTAATTGAGACACTGAACCAATTGATTTTGAGTATTATATTGACCAATTGAATTTTGACTTTTGTTTATAATGGTTAATTAAAGTTCAAGATTATTTCTCTATCACAGAATAACATTGCAGTAAAGACCAATAAAAGTTTGAATTCAGTAAATTGTCATTTTAACATAGATCTATTCTGCCGTCTGTTCTTAACTGCCACTTCTCAACTCATTCCCCAGGGGCTTGAGTGTGAGCCACCATGTAAGTGCGATGTCCAACCATAATCCTCAATCGTTTAAACAAAGTATTTAAAGAGGACTTTGAACCTGCGGTTGAGTAGCTGGAGGTCGAACGCTACGATCACTAAAATATCACTCTACAAGGGATTCAAACTCCATACTTATAACCTATTTATTATGAGATTAACCGAAGTTGTTTCTTTGAATGGGTCTGACAGAAACTTTTGTTGGCTCAACCATTAGATCATTTCTTCCTGGGTTGTAGCGCTCTTTTGCCATTTCCAGATTATCATAGAGCCTCAGTGAATAATGGTATTTTATGCTTGCGATCAACATGGAGGGGTAGAAGTTTTTCTATGATGAGAAAGTATCAACTCCGCTTTCATCTTGTGATTGTACAGCTATCATGTTCATAACCGTTATGTGAGAGACGGAAATCAAGTTAATCAGCACCAAATATTGAAACCAGTACAAACAAACAAAATAGGTTCCTACAGGTCAAAAGTTGTAACACGTGAAGTCTTATCAAAAAGATTATAACATGATTTTGAAGTATCGTGGAAGGTATTTAACCTTCTGAGAAGCGCTCCAGTTATTCGCTCCTTTCAATTCATCTCATATTGTATTTCGAAGTATCTTCATTTTTTGTGAATTAGTTCTTGCTAGAAATATGTTTATTGTCCTCATGATCCAAAGATATTTTCAGATGTTTGTGTTAAATAATATGCAATAAATTATTCATTTAAAGTTCAATATGATTAAGGTTCCTTTTGAACATACCTCTTTTGACTGATGAAATACTTAATGAATACCTACTAATCAGCATAGTAAAATGATATCACTATGCAGTCTAGCTCAAATCCTATCAGAGAAGCTACTCAGATCTACCTGTGAATTTGAAAGTGGTTTCTCTGGTTAGCTTGTCTATAGTGGTTATTTTCTATGGGGTGATGTTGCGAACCCTATCCCCAACTCTTCTTCTTTATCCGGGCTTCAGGTCGGTAGTAAGCCTAAACGGGCTACAAGCGTAGTTACTCAATATCTGTTGACT